GTTTGCTAATTTGGACCGGGCCCTATCTGTGATCTACTTTCTGATTCTGCCTACCGTCGGACAAATTAAAGATTTTTTGGTTCAATTTTCAATATTAGTCACTTGCATTATATACGGAAATAAAGGGGAAATAATGACCTATCTCAACATGTTGCTAAAAACGATCATTTTTCAGCATAAGTTTCAGATTCGACTACCACAAAAGTAGGTATGGTTTTGGGGCAGGAAGTTGAGAGCCGGGAAACACGGCCCATGGTAGTGAAAGAGTTAAAAGATAAACACGTTAGAATTTGTCTGTAAGAGATCACACAGACAGACATGGAAAGACACAAACAATAGTACTCATCCGCAGTCCTAAAGGAACCTACAAAAACTTTAAAGACAAAAACTTGAAAAAACTAAAATAAACTCTATCTCTTATTTCTGGCTCTGGAGATGAAGCTACAAAAACTTCAAAGACAAAAACTTGAAAGAACTACCATACACTCTATCTCTTACTTCTGGCTCCTGAGATGAACGAGGAGTTGCCCGTGAAGCCGAGCTTTGTTCCTGTAAAACCACCACCCACTCCGTTGACAACAGGCATGGTCGGCTCAGGCTTAGCCACAGGATCGAACACTGTACCATTGGGCATCCTGCACGTTGGCATCTGGCAGCAGCCAGACTGGACCAGGCTACAGCCAGAAGGAAGGAGTTTTGCCTCAAATGTAGGGCATCTGAGGAAACAGTTATTTTTGTTTTTGTGTTTGAGTGAAGAGAAGAGAAGCACTTAGACACAATAACCATCTTTTGTGCTGGGGAAAAACATAGTAGAACCAACAGAAACAACAGACAGAAAAAAGAGAAGTATGATCTGCCATAACCACCCTCCTACCATCTGCTTTTTTGCTCAGATGAATATTAAAAAATGATAATAATATGCATTAACTGAAGGGACAAATGAAAAAAGAAACCAAGACCAAAATTGTCAAAAAATCAAAATTCTTGGACAACTAGAAATAGGATACTGCAACATTTTTGAGGACCATTGAATATTATAGTACTGAGTGGATTGTCACTGTGTTGGTGAAATGTTTGTTTTTCACAGACTGACTCTATAGGTTATGTGACTATATATAAGTTCCGAAAAATTCAGCGATGCTATACAATTGGTTGTCACTCTGACCCCAACCCCCCCCCCCTTCTTAAAAAGTCATTTCCACACAGCTCAATTGAATATTATATGCAGACATAAAAAAGAGTCATAAAAACTTTACCGAAAATAGCATAATTATCAAAGTTAGATTACTGTAATGTTATTTTGTCCGGTTTGACATCCGAAAAACTATCAAAGTTACAAGTACTTCAAAATCAAGCAGCAAAATTGATAATGAAACAAAAGAAATCAGCCCACGTAACACCAATTCTGAAAGAACTACACTGGCTGCCAATAAAAGAAAGGATTAAATACAAAACGGCCATTCTCTGTTTTAAACGTATAAATGATAGTGCACCTTTTTATCTTAAAACATTCCTGGAATTATATAATCCACCTAGAGCCCTTAGATCAGCCTCTGACAATCTAATTCTTAAAACTCCAAAACAAAACTACAAAACATACGGCGAGCGTTCCTTTTTGTTCTTTGGTCCCCAGGTATGGAACGAAATCCCATATAAAATAAGATCTGCCCCAACAATTTCCATTTTCAAAAATCAGCTGAAGCATTTTTTATTCACAAAAGCATACCTGTCATAATGATGTACTGTGATATATATGCATGTGTATGCCAGACTGTGAGACTGAAGAAATAGCGAGTGAGAATGAGAGAGAGAAAAAGAGAGAGATAGAGAGAGAAAAGAGAGAGAAAAGAGAGAGATAGCGAGAGAGGGAGAGAGAAAGAGAGAGAGAGAGATAGAGGGAGAGGGAGAGGGAGAGAGAGAGAGGGAGAGAGAGAGAGAGACAGACAGAGAGAGATAGATAGAGAGAGAGAGAGAGAGAGAGAGAGCGGAAATGTTTTTCTATCTGTATAGAATTAATGTTTTAATGAATGTTTCTAGTTACTCACGTTTCAACTGTATTTTGACTGTTCGTGAATTTATATTGCATTGTATATTTTTAGTGAACACATTTTCAACCTCACAGCGAGACTGTTTTTCTGGTATAAAATTTTACACATATGCATTTATATTATATGTATAATACACAGCGGTTATAGAGCGCCCATTTAGTTTCGGCTGGCGCGAGGCAAGCAAGCCCGCGCTTCCCCAGGTCACGGGGTCATTTACCTGCGCCGCCGGGGATTTCCCTAATCAGCCGAACACCGGCAGCGCTCTTGTATTTTTTGCAAAGTTTACCAGCACAGTGAGCCAAAGCTAATGTAAGATGAATATTTTAATAAAGACCACGTAAATATTCAACATATTAAGGAAGAAAATGAAGAAATCGGAAGAACATGGTACATTACACTTAAAAGCTGTGAAGTTCTCAAAAAGGGGACTTAATTTGATAAATGTGTCATGG